AGATATGGAGAGAGTTGTCTTGGTTCATAGTTTTCGTGCAATGAGTCGTACTGTTCTGTTTCCATCCTCAGTGAGGTGAAATTACTTATTATAGTCTTAAAATAGGCCTCCTTTTACTTGAGCTACCTTGTCTCAGAAACAAATCCTCCCAAGACACCCATCATGGTCATCAGACCAGGCCTCTTCCCCCATGTTTTCCTTCATCATGCGGACTCAGAACAGATCCTTCATTTGGAAGTTGAACTGCCCAAGAGTTGTGATCATTGCTGCTCTATGACATTACAACGTTTTTAAATCCAGGAAAGGGAAGTTCTGCAACATTATCTTTTTCCTCCCAGAACACTAACATTTTTGTATGCTTCTTTTTGGTTGCATTTTACAATTGTTTTGTATTTAAAAAAAAAAATTTTTTAAGATTTTATTTATTTATTCATGAGAGACACACAGAGAGAGGTAGAGACACAGGCAGAGGGAGAAGCAGGCTTCCTTCCAGGAGCCTGATGCGGGACTCCATCCCAGATCCCAGGATCATGCCCTGAGCCAAAGGCAGACGTTCAACCGCTGAGCCACTCAGGCATCCCAATTGTTTTGTATTTTATATTTATGAAACTCTTAATGCTCCATTAATTAGCATTGCATTCAATGTGTGAACAGGAAGTGTTACCTTACCATTTGTTTGGTCTTTCCAATTTTGAGCAAGGTTAACTCTCCATCTAGTCCGATTTTCTTTTACTGTGTCATTAAGGTTTTGGGATTTTTTAAAATAATTTTTTTAGGTATACATTAAAATATTTAGTGGGGACTTGGGGTCTTGGTTATGAATGGATTGTTTTTTACACTTTCATTTCTGGATATTGATTATAACAATTATATATTTTAAAATCTATTTATGTACCCTGCTGACCACTTGAGGCAATGGAGAATTGTCCAATGTGAGAAGGGGTGCAGAGCAGAGATGGATTTCTGTCACCTGTTTGCTTTCACGTGTTTGTGTCTCTGTGGACAATGTTTGAGTAGCACGTGGCTCTTGTGAGCCATTGGGAGGTGTACCATTCCCATTTTCCCCCATGAATAAGCCAAGTTAAATGACCTGTTCTAGGACCAAATCCATGTCTTTAAACTCTCTGAAGGCACAGGCCGTACAGACCTTTGCTTTCAACAGCTCTCATTTCTAATAATTTGAGCTACCTGGACTAGTTTGGGAAATATTCATTTCTATGATATGAAAGACTGAAATGACTAATTATTTGGAGATTGGTTACAGGTTTTTTAGGCAACAGATTAAAGGTTAGTCTAAATAACGTCTTAAAAATATGTTCTTTGAAAATTGCACGTGTAATAAGAGTTCACTATACAAAAATGAGAAAATGTCCATAAGCTAAAAAAAAAAAGAAAAGAAAAAGAATGCTCATAATTCTACTACCTGGAGATGACTACTGTTATTTTGGTATCTTTTCTTCTAAATGGTTTTCTATATCTGATGTACAGGATTATATAAATAAATATGCACACTCATGGGACTTTCTCTGTAATCATGTGAACCAATTCCTATAATAAATCTCCTCTTACAAATCTATGTCTATCTACATCAACATCTATATCTATAATCCTATTAGTTCTGTTTCTCTGAAGAGCCCTAACTAATATACCCAGTTTCCTCTACTGGTAACATCATACAAAACTGTAGTACAGTACTAGATCTAGGATTTTTTTTTTTTTTTGAGAGGGAATGGGGCACAGGTAGGGATAGAGGGAGAGGGAGAGAATCTTTTTTTTTTTTTTTGAGGGAGAGAATCTTAAGCAGGCTCCACACTCAGCATGGAGCCCAGTTATGAGGCTCCATCTCACGACCTTGAGATCATAACCTAAGCTGAAACCAAGAGTCAGACACTTAACCAACTGAGCCACCCAGATGCCCTATAACCAGGATATTGATATTGATACAGAACATCCCATCACCACAAGAATCCTCATGTTGCCCTTTTATAAGGCAACTCTGTTCCATTCTCCTCTCCTCCACTGGGGCTGTTATCTCTGGTATCTATTAATTTGTTCTTCGTTTCTATAATTTTCTTGTTTCAAGAATGCTCATAAGTAGAATCACATAGTATGTACTTTTTTGGCTTTTTTTCCACTTTGCATAATACTTTTTTTAACTTAGAAAAATTAATGATTATTTCACTCAGAGTAATTTCACTCAGCATGCCAAATTTAGCATATATCAATAATGTGTTCTTTTTTTATTGTTGAGTATTACACGGAATGGACATACCCAATTTGTTTAACCATTTGTCCCCTGAAGTACATCTGGGTTGTTTCCAGTTTTTGGCTATTATAAATAAAGCTACTATAAACATTCATGGATAGATTTTTATGTGAACAGAAGTCTCCATTTATCTTGGATAAACACCCGAGAGTGCAATTGCTGGGTTGTATGGTGGTTGGCTGTTTAGTGCTTTATAAAACTACCAAACTGTTTTCCAGAATGGCTGTACCATTTTACAGTGCTACCCACAATGTATGAATGATCTGATTTCTCGGCATCCTCACCAGCACTTGGTGTTAGCTTTTTATTTTAGCCATCCTGATAGTTATGATTTTCCTTAATAGGTATAGTGCTAAGGTGCCTGGGTGGCACAGTCAGCTAAGCATCTAATTCTTAATTTTGGCTTAGGTCATGATCTCAGAGTCCTGGGATAGAGCCCTGTATTGGGCTCCCTGCTCAGCGTGGAGTTTGTTTAAGATTCTCTTTCCCTCTCCCTCTGCACCTCCCACTCGTGCTCTCTCTCTCAAATACATAAATAAATCTTAAAAAAAATTATTATAGTGCTATTCAAATGATCTATTTCATATTGGGTGTGTTGTGTTAGTGTTTTTTTTTAAAGTAACTTTTTTAAAAAATTTTTTATTTATTTATGATAGTCACACACAGAGAGAGAGAGAGATGCAGAGACACAGGCAGAGGGAGAAGTAGGCCCCATGCACCGGGAGCCCGATGTGGGATTCGATCCCGGGCCTCCAGGATCGTGCCCCGAGCCAAAGGCAGGGGCTAAACCGCTGCACCACCCAGGGATCCCAAGTTTGTGTTTTTCAATTAATTACTACATTTCATCTAAGTTGTCAAATTTATGTGTATAGAGTTGCCATAGTATTTTTTAAAAAGTCATTGATTTCTCTTGCCATTTGCAATGACATGGATGGAGCTAAAGATTATTAAGCATAAGTCAGAGAAAGATAAAAACCATATGATTTCACTCATCTATGGAATTTAAGAAACAAAACAAATGAGCAAAGGAAAAAAAAAAAGAGAAAGAGAGAAAGAGGCAAACCAAGAAACAGACTCTTAACTATAGACAGCAAACTGATGTTCACCAGAGAGAAGGTGGGTAGGGGGGATGGGTGAAGTAGGTGATGGGGATTATTAAGAAGGGCACTTGTGATGAGCACTGGATGATGTATGGACATGCTGAATCACTATATTATACACTTGAAACTAATATTACATTGTATGTTAACTAATTCGGATAAAAACTTTTTACAAAAATAAAAATAAATAAAAATCATTGATTTCTGCTATTTGTTAGTTCCTTTCTTTTGCTTTGAGTTTATTTTTCTCTCCTTCTAGCTTCTTTTTTTTTTTAAGATTTTATTTATTTATTAGAGACACACAGAGAGAGAGAGGCAGAGACACAGGCAGAGGGAGATGCAGGCCCCGTATTGGGAGCCCGATTGGGACTCGATCCCGGGTCTCCAGGATCACACCCCCGGCTGAAGGCGATGCTACATCACTGAGCCACCAGGGCTGCCCTCCTTCTATCTTCTTAAATGGGAGCTCAGGTTATTAATCTGAGACTTCCTCTTTTCTCATATGTGCACTTAGTGTTAATTAATTTCCCTGGAAGAGATATTTTCTATTGTGTAGGGAAACCTTAATGTACCCACCGTGTGCATAGCTCCCTACCGAGGAATTCAGTTCAATTCAGCAAATATTTATGGAGTGCTTGGGCCAGATACTGTTCTAAATCCTCAGTATACATCAGGGAACAAAACAGACAAAGATCTCTATCTTTGTGGAACTTACATTCTAGCCAGGGGAGACACACAATAAATAATAAGCGTCATTTAGATAGTATATTAGAAAGTAATAAGTACAGGAACAAAAAGTCCTGCAGGATAAGAGGGAATGGACATGTGGCAACTAGAGCATTTAATGCTATAGTACTAACAGTACAGCATTTGATATACTATGTGTGTAGTATTGAATATGTTGGTCAGGCCTTGTGGAGAAGGTGAGATTTGAGTAAAGATCTAAAGGGAAAAAAAAAAAAAGATCTAAAGGAGTCAGTGAAGCCAGTGTCTGGTAGAGGTGTGCTTCAGACAGGTGGGGCAGCTAGAGCAAAGGCCCTGTGGTAGGAGCATGCCTGGACTATCTGAGGAAAAGCAAGGCAGCCAGCGTGACTAGAGCAGGGTGAACAAGGGGGGAAGTGGTAAAGATGAAGTCAGAGTATAAAGGGGGCCAGGTCTTTGGGTCTTGCTCTACATGAAAAGGGAGGCCACTGCAGTATATGAAGCAAAGGAATGACACGTCTTGGTTTAGGTGTTCAATGAATCACTCTGGCTGCTATGTGAGGCATAGACCACATGTAGAAACAGGTCACCTCGTAGCAGGGTACTCTAGTGATGCAAGCGAGAGACGATGTGGCTTGGAGCAGAGTGGTAGCAGTGGGAATAGTGAGGAGTGGCTACATTCTAAATACATTTTGAGGGGCACCTGGGTGACACCGTTGGTTAAGCGTCCAACTCCTAATTTCAGCCCAAGTCATGATCTCAGGGTGGTGAGATTGAGCCCCATGTCGGGCTCCATGCTCAGTGCAGAGTCTGCTTGAGACTCTCCCTCCCTCTGCCCCTCTCCCCCTAAAATAAATAAATCTTTAAAAATACATACATACATACATACATTTTGAGAGAGTTAATAGGAGTTCTTTTTTTTTTTTTAATAGGAGTTCCTCACAGACTGGACTTGGGGTGTTTGAAAAAGACAGACATGTGGATAACCAGCTTGATATAAATCCTTAAACGTAGGTGACCACATTCCATACCACACGCACCCTTCCTACTCCTACAACCTTGCTCACAGCTTGTTGGACGATGGTAGGTGCTTACCCGTGAGCAGCTGATCAGTGGGCTGGACATTAGCCTACAGAGTTTCCTGGCACGAAAGTTTTGCCCAAGCAAATGGCAATTAACTGTGCCAATGATTTTCTCTTTCAGGAATCAGAACTGGAGAAACAAGAAGAGACACTCCATGAAAGCAGAAGCTGACAGACACACAGAGAGGCAGTAGTCAGACTTCATGAGTAAGCACAAGCCGTGAATAAACACCAGCCGTGAGCAAACAAAAACCATGAGGCAGCAAAAAGATACACAAAGTAATGATGGAAGTGATAGAAGATGACTAAGGCAGCATCACATTCTCAGGAGGAAGGGTCCCTAGCCAGACCTGGAGCCAGAGGTACAGTCACCTCCTCTGTTACTGGAGATGGGGGATGGTGCTAGACAGAGACAACAGGTGTGCCCCGGTGAGCCACGTCAGGCTGGAGTTGGCTCTGTAGTAGCCAGAAGGGCACCTGAGCCAAAATTATGAGAGTGCAAGGAAGCCAGAGAAAGCAGAGGAAAGCTGTCTCCTGAGAGAAGCAGAAGGCAGAGAGAGAGGCAGGGATGGCAGGTGATGCAGCCACGTGAGACATGGCACAGCATCCTCCCTTCCTGTTTCAGGTTCATCCCACAGCCGGGACACCTGTGCTGATCCCTGCACTTTAGAGCCCCTGGAGAGCACCTTCTGTGTCACTTCCAATTACCTCCTCTTCTACTTGAGCTGGTGGGAGTGGTTTTGGTCTATGCTCCAGGGGTGGTACAATTAGCTGGATATTTCTGGATAGCTACATATCTCTCAGGATTGAGCATGGCAGACAAGGGACAAAAGGTGAAATGCAAATGTTTGGGATAAAGAAGTAGCTGGAATCAGGTGAAGCATTTTACACACCTTGTCTCATTTGATCTGCAGGGTTAGGGAGGTAGCATTACTGAGGGTAAGTACCGTCCACCTTCACTGTTCACTGAATCTGTATTTGCCAATTTTCCTAATCCCTAAAACTTAGTTGTGACCCCAAAACAACACCACCTGTATTTTCTTTTTTTTTTCAAAGATTTTATTTACTTATTCATGAGAGAAACAGAGAGAGAGAGAGAGAGAGAGGCAGAGACATAGGCAGAGGGAGAAGCAGGCTCCCTGCAGGGAGCCCAACATGGGACTCCATCCTGGGACTCTAGGATCAGGCCCTGGGCCAAAGGTGGTGCTAAACCACTGAGCCACCCGGGCTGCGCACCACCTGTATTTTCACAGTGTTCACAGACATGCGCAGAGTGGTGAAAAAAATTGAATTGTCTCAGGCACTGTTCCTAACCCAGTAGAAGAGGTAACACTTAGCCTGTTTCAGCTCCCATACCGTAAACAGGTTTCCCTTTTGCAGTCTATTTAGCATCACGTTGTCCACATTGTGTGCTGTTTGTTGGTGATTTCAGCACTTCATATGGTCCCCGGTTACAATGTTGAAGTGCTGTCTGTGTTCCTAAGCACAAGAAGGCCATGACGTGCCTTATGGAGAAAAATATGTGTTAGACAAGCTTTGTTTAGGCAGGAGTTAGAGTGCTGTTGGCTGTGAGGTCAGTGTTAATGAACCAATAATATATATTAAGTTGTCTTTAAACAGAAACAAACATAAAATAAAGTTATACATTAATTGGTTGATGAAAATATCATGACTGGAGGCCCACAGGAATCTAACCCTGTATTACCTCTGGGAGTAACAGTTCAGCATTTGCTAATTCGGTGCCTGCCCAGACTTTATAGAGCTACCGTAAAAAACAAGAATCCACTGTACCATGTGCAGGACCAGTGGAACAGTGTGGATGCCCAGCTCTGCTTCTGGACGCCTCATGCTCATTCCATTCCACCATTCCATGCTTCAGAAGAGAAAGAAAAGTTTCTCTGCTCAGCTTCCAGTGCTCCTTCCACTGCACAATGCTGCTTTCTCTAGAACGGAGAAATTGGGAAATGAACAGATATGAAACAACCATGGAAAATACAGTAGAATCTACATTAGGGCTGGGATACAGTCATATGTAGGACATTGTCATCACTCATCCCTTGAATATGTGTGGCGGGCATTTCTCATCTACCACAAACTCTTTTCCTGCTTGAGCCCTGATGGGGTTCCACAGCCCTTCTCAAGGCAGGATTCCAGGCAACCACTACCAACTGATGAGAGTTGGCATCTAAGATGAAACCTTTATCTTCCTTGCATGATAACTGGCGTCCTTAAAGATCAAGCATGCACTTGGAGGATCTGAGTTGCCAGGCTTAAGGAACTTTTAGATTTGAAGCAAATGTGTCAGTCTATTTCAAAGCTTAGACCCCATGGTAGCTCTGAGCATCTGATTAACTCTCTGGAAAGGCTTTCTGGATTCCTTTTTTTTTTTTTTTTAAAGATTTTATTTGTTTGTTTGTTTATTTATTTATTTATTTATTTATTTATTTATTTATTTATTTATTTATGAGAGGCAGAGTCACAGGCATTGGGAGAAGCAGGCCCCATGCAGGGAACCTGATATGGGACTCGATCCTGGGTCCCCAGGATCAGGCCCTGGGCTGAAGGCAGCGCTAAACTGCTGAGCCACCCGTGCTTTCTGAGCATCTGCTTTTGACTGAGGTTGTGCTCCCAGGTGCCTGGGTTTGAGTCCCACATCAGGCTCCCCGCAGAGAGCCTGCATCGCCCTCTGCCTATGTCTCTGCCTCTGTGTGTGTGTGTGTGTGTCATGAATAAATAAATAAAACCTTAAGCCTTTTTTTTTAACCTTAAGCCTTTAAAAACAAGAAGAAGAAGAAAGAAGAAGAAGAAGAAGAAGAAGAAGAAGAAGAAGAAGAAGAAGAAGAAGAAAGAAGAAAGAAGAAGAAGACTTTGCTCCTGAAAGATTCAGCTGGATGGGAACCATCTTGTTCATCTCTGAATCACCTTGCCTAGAGCACTGTCTGGCACAGAGTTGGTGCTCAGTGATGTTTGTTGAATGAAGGCCTGGGCACCTAGACCGATCCCTATCTTCCCCAAGGGGAAAGAGTCCTGATGTAGGCCGGCAAGAATGGAATCCTTAAAGGCACAAAGCAGAGCAAGCATGGCAGGAGGAGGAGCTTTGCAGGAAGCAGGGGAGGCAGTCAAGAAACCGTAAATGAAACTGAACTGGAGCTGCATTCTGTTGAATCTCTCTGCCTCTTTTCTTCATTTCTCTTCATGTTCTCTCCTATGGCTTATCTCATTACTTCTGGCAAGTTGGATCTGGGCATCCCAAGCAGGACTGGGGTGGAGGCATATATGGAAGAGGAGGCCTGAGGTCTGGTTTGAACTGGGAGCTAGTTTTGACTCTGAACTAAAGGACCCCAGCCTTCAGCTTCTAGAACTGCTGGGCACCAGCGCTGCCCATTCTCACACAGGTCTCAGGACACTTACCACACCATCAACCTAGCCCGTCCCTCTCCTCTCCTGCCCTATTTCCTTTCCCCTTCTCCCCTCCATCAGTCATGGCAAATGGGGTTTGAGAGGGGATAGGGAAGAGGGGATGGGAAGCCAGGCCAGGAAGAGATGGATATATTTGACTGGGAGCCTAAGAAGGGAAGGAAGGACACAGTGCATCAATAAATATAGGATAGGAGTTAAGGTTGAAGAAATGTTGTTAGATTTCTGAACCATGTTTGCTATTTTAGTATCGGAAATGATTGTCAGTTAAAATCTCTGCCCTGGGGATCCCTGGGTGGCGCAGTGGTTTGGCGCTTGCCTTTGGCCCGGGGCGTGATCCTGGAGACCCGGGATCGAGTCCCACGTCGGGCTCCCGGTGCATGGAACCTGCTTGTGTCTCTGCCTCTCTCTCTCTATCTCTCTGTGACTATCATAAATAAATAAAAATTAAAAAAAAAATTAAAAAAAAAATCTCTGCCCTGGTATTGGGAAAGCTACAGAAAGCTGGAGCTTCCCGATATGCAGCTAATTCTGGAGTAGCAGTGTGGTACTTGAGGCCATGGGAAAAAGTGCATGCACTTTGGAGTAAGATTGAGCTGGGTTACCACTTGCTAGCTCTCTAGTTTGGGGCAGGTTCCTTAATCACTCTGGATTTTACTTCTTTTTTTCTGTAAGATGAAGATAACAATAGTATGCACACACACAAAAAACCAATAGTATGCACTTTATAGGATCATAATGACTAAAGGAAATGAGCTTTATCAAGTTTTGTGAAATGTGCTTAGGAAACTCAAATGATACCTATTGTTATCATTAGTAATATGATCATCTTGTGCTCTTTACTTACACAAAGTGAGGTATTTTCTTTTCTTCTCAGCTCTGGGTTGGAAGCAAAATAGACTGAGTTTCTGAGAATTCTTAAGAGGAAGACAGGCACTCAGACAGCCTGTCTGAGAAGCAATTCTGATAGTTTAAGGTTCAGGAAGCCTGTAGAATTCCACAGCAGTGACTATAATGGGGGCTCTGGAGACCGTTAGTTCTCAAGATGAGAGGGTGATTAACTAGGAAAAGCGTAAAAGTTTTACTTTGGGAAAGTTTGCCCACATTGCACGCTGCCCTTTCTCTACAGGTCTGAATTGTAAGGAGTGGCCAAATCCAATTTAACCAACAAACAAGCCAGTAAGCCAGAGAGCTGGCTATTAAGCTACTGTAAGCCCTGGCACATTTGGCTTTACCTCCCCAGTTTCTGTAACATTTCCCATAGTTTCCCATGGCTGGGCTCACTGATGCAAAATCCCCCCAGGCCCGCAGTTTTTGCCTATCATCTGTGGAATTAGTTCTTTACGCTGAATTAGTTCTCTATGCTGCTGTTACAAATGATACAACCTTGGTGGCTTAAACAACACAGATTTATGATCTTATCGTTCTAGATATCAAAAGAGCAAAATTCGTCTCATTGAGCTAAAATCAAGGTGTCAGTAGGGCTATGTTCCTTTCTAGAGGCCCTGGAGGGGATAATCTGTTTCCTTACTTTTCTAGCGTCTAGAGGCCACCTGCATTTCTTGGCTAATGGCCCCTTCCATCGTCAAAGTCAGTAACGGCTGAGTGAGTCCTCACATCGAGTCATTCCAACCTCTACTTCTGTCATCATATTTCCTCTTGAATTTCTGCTTCCCTCTTCCATATTAAGGACACTTATGGGGCAGCCCGGGTGGCTCAGTGGTTTAGCGCCACTTTCAGCCCAGGGCCTGATCCTGGAGACCCGGGATCGAGTCCCACATCGGGCTCCCTGCATGGAGCCTGCTTCTCCCTCTGCCTGTGTCTCTGCCTCTCTCTCTCTCTCTCTCTCTCTGTGTGTGTGTGTGTGTTTGTCTCATGAATAAATAAATAAAATCTTAAAAAAAAAAAAAGGACACCTATGATTAGATAGGGCCCACCTGAATAATCCAAGATAATCTCCTTATTTTAAAGTCAGCTGATTTGGGGTGCCTGAGTGGCTCACTTGGTTGGGCATCTGCCTTCAGCAAATGTCACAATCCTGAGATCCTTGGATTGAGCCCCACATCAGGCTCCTTGCTTGGGGAGGAGTCTGCTTCTCACTCTTCCTCTGCCACTACCCCCCCCCCCCCGCTGTGCTCTCTCTCTCTCTCTCTCTCAAGCAAATAAATAAAATCTTAAAAAGAAAATAAAGTCAGGTGATTTGCAACCTTATTTCTATTTGCAACCCTTGCCATAGTTCCATGATTTCCCTGGCCCTGTAATGTAACCTATTCATAGGTTCCAGAGATAGATATGTGTATATTTGGGGGCTCTTGTTCCACCTTCAACAACTCTTATCCATTATGCCCTGCTCTGTGATTCTAAACCCAGATTTAGAATTTAGTAAAGTCCCTCAGATACCAGGCTCGAGCCATCTTCCTTGTGATGGTGTCCATGAATCCCATGCTGGAGGAGTTGGTCTCTGGTCTCCCCAGCTCCCTTCACCTCATTTGACCTTCATGTAAAATGACCCGAGGTGAGGTGCCATACACTGAGCATGCAAGTACTCTGGTTGCTCTGCTCAAACTGGTGGGTAGGAGAAATTTTTTTTTATTTCTTCACATTCAGATTCTTTGTTGTGATAGCTAGCTAATCAAGTTTTTCTTTGATGAATATTTTCAAACATAAGAAGCTTATCCATCCATTCTACGTCCCAGCCTTATCTGATAGTACTTTCATTAACTCGAAACTAACCGATTAACTCAGGTACTAACTCAATTAATGCCTGAGGACAGTTTACACAAACTACAATAATCATTAGCTGCCAGTTCCTAAACCTACTCAGAGGTGCCTGTACTGTTTTAGATATGTACAGAAAGGCACACTCATACCTTCTTAGATACATGCGTGAAGAAACACTCATGTACATGCACAGTGATCATTGTAGTGGGGAGAAGATCTTAAACATCTATTAAGATGTGCTAGATGTCCACAGGATGACATATGCAAGTGTTGCTCTATATAGAACTAATATATAGAGCTCATATAGCTCTGGGTGTTAACTAACTGGAATTAAAATAAAAATTTAAGTGAAGAAAGATGTGCTGTATATCATCTTAAGGGGAAGGAAACATTTATTGAGAACCTGCTTTGTTGTTGAAAACTTTATATTTGGGACGCCTAGGTGGGTCAGCAGTTGAACATCTGCCTTTGGCTCCAGGTGTGATCCTGGGGTCCTGGGATGGGGTCCCACATTGGGCTCCCTTGAGGACCCTGCTTCTCCCTCTGCCTATGTCTTTACCTCTCTCTGTGTGTCTCTCATGAATAAATAAATTTTAAAAAACTTTATATCTTAAACTTACTTTAATTCTCATTATAATGCAGGAAAACAGCTTTTATGATCTCCCTTTTACAAGTGGGATAATTGCAGCCCTAAAAATCACACAGCTAGTAAGATTTGAACATTTCACACCTGCACTGTTTCTAAAACGTTTCTCAACTTTTTTCTTTTCCCTCACTTGACCAACCTTAAAGCTGGGGAATGAACCAGAATAGAGTTGTTCAAAGTGAGGTTACTGAAGCGAACCCCAGAGTTTTATGGGGGTACTCAGAGGCTCCTCACATGGAAATGAAGGTGCTTGGTAAGAGGCAAGCTGAGTGGGCTGGGCTTTGGGCTCTTCCCACCCTCCATCAGGCCAGTTCTGCTATTATTAGTTCTACATATTGGGATGCAATATAATATTTCAATAGAAAGGAAGATGGGATGGAGTTCTGCTAAAATAGCCTCTTGAAGGCCATTAGACTGGAATCTGACCACCATGCCCTGTGATTCTGGAAGTCTGTTCTAATTGTCCCCAGTTAATTAACCAGTTCTTCCAATGCCAGTGCCTTGGTTATCCTCTGAATGTGATTAGGGGCTTTGCTCTCTAGAATGAAAGAGAATCATCTCAGCTAGTAAGTGATGCAAGAATTATTAAGGTAGAGTAGCAGCAAGATTCTCAGGCACTTGGCTGCCCCACAGACCAAATGTAAGCTGAGAGCTGAGGGGAAGTCAGATTCGTGTTAAAGACAGTGCTGATCCGGCACTAGACAGTGGAAGATTCTACAGAAAAGGAACCCCTCACAGTGATGGTAAATGGGGTATGAGGAGGTACCCAGATATTTTGAAAATTGTCCCTTTTAGGGACTATATGTGGTTAGGATATCGATATGGTCCCTTCTGAGACGCTGCCTTGCTGTACCACTGGTTGGCTTATCGTGAGTCAATATGAGACTCTCAAAGCAAATTCAGTCCCATCAGAGTATCACTTATTTAAATCTGTAACGGAGATAAGAACTTTGAAAATTTTAAGTCAGCATCTCATAAGCTACAATGTCTGGGTGAGTCAATATCTGAAAGAAGACAAGAGATCATATGTGGAATTTAAGAAACAAAACAAATGAACAAAGGGGGAAAAAGAGAGAGAAAGAGAAGCAAACCAAGAAGCAGACTCTTAACTATAGAGAATTGATGGTTACCAGAGGGGAGTGGGCAGGGGAATGGAGACCTGCCATAAGGAGGTCACTTGCTGTGGTGAGCACTAGGTGATGTATGGAAGTGTTGAAGCACTGTATTGTACACCTGAAACTACTATTACACTGTATGTTAACGAACTGAAATTTAAGTAAAATATTTTTTAAAAAGAAGACAAAAGATAGAATGAAAGCTACATTTTCTCTTCTTTCAGAGGACACTCTTACGCCCGCTTCCCTGAGTTACTCCTTGGTATTCCCTCAATGAAGAGTACTAAAAATAACTGACATTTATTGTTGGAGCTCTTAAATCTTTACGAGCACTTGAGTCTTTAACAGAGCCTCAAATTGTCCTCCTCAAAACACCTCGCCTCTCTTCCATAGTAATAGGATTCCCAAGTTTTAGCTGTGCCCAAAGCTGCCTGGAATTTCCCAGCCTCCCTTGCAGCTAGATGTGACCATGTGACTCAGTTCTTGTCAGTGAGATACAAGTTGAAGTGTTGTATGGCAGCTTCTGCCGTTATCCTCAAAAGGTAAATGGTATGTGCTCTTTGACTCGTCTTCACTCCATCCTCCATCCTGCTTCCTGGAACACAGATGTGATGGTTGCCATGATAGTTACCATCTTGGACCATGACAGTGAGGGCCACAATGAAGGAATGAAGAACAGGGAGATGACCTGGGTCCCTGAAGATATTGTGGAGAAGTTCTGTATTTTCTAACTCAGAACTTTGATGTAAAAGAAAAATAAAATATTGTTTAAATCACATTTATTGTATTTCTGTTTCTCACAGCCAATACTGATACAAACTGATACACTCTATATACTAGGAACCATATTATTCTGGTTTGAGAAAACTGTGGCTGAGTCAGATTAAATCATTTGTGAAGATCATCCAACTAGTAGATGAAGGAATTAGGGTATGAATCACAGTTTTTGCCAAAGCCCAAATGCTTTCCTCCTACTCAGTGTTCACTCTCAGATCATGAGGGCAATAGTGCTTAAACTTCTCTGGTTGGATGCCTGGGTGGGTCAGTCAGTTAAGCATCTGCCTTTGGCTCAGGTCATGATCCCAGGGTCCCAAGAGAGCCTGCTTCTCCCTCTCCCTCTGCCTGTCACTCCCCTTGCTTATGCTCTCTCTGTCAAATAAATGAAATCTTAAAAAAAAAATTAAAAAAAATTAAACTTCTCTGGTTGACAAGAATCTTTCAGCAAAGCCCTCTGACAGTATCTGATCATGAGACTACAGTCTTCAACTTGCCTCTCCATCATCTCTTCCAAAAAGTGAAATTGACAGGTCACAAGGGTCATGGTAAGATTCAATTGCATATCACCTTGAGAGTTCTGGGATGTCACAGCAGCCCCCAAAAGCCTGATTTGCATGAAGACTATTAGGCCTTCTAGGAGAAATGATATAGAGGACCATGGGAACTAATGATTGGGACCCTAGAGAGATGGTTGACACCCTTGAACAGAGAGGGGATGATGAAGTAGGCCCTAATCCTGGGAGGAGGGCAAATGCCTGATGCTGGAAAATTAAAGGTCTATCTTTTCCCCCTTTTAGAAAATATTTTATTTTTATTTTTTAAAGTAATCTCTACACCCACCGTGGGGCTCAAACTCACAACCCCAAGATCAAAAGTCAGGCATGCCCCACCTACTGAGCCAGCCAGGCACCCCTCTGGGTGAGACTAGGGTGAGACTAGGGTGGCACTGGGTGAAACTAGGGTGGTACTGGACAGTGGAAAGATATATCCGTCTTATTATGGGCACAAATCACATAGGGAAGGGGTGCTGAGATAGATAGTGTCACCAAGGGAGTTCCAGACCAAATCAAACCTTAGTTAATGAAAAGAGCTTCATGGTTATCTGAATCCAAATGCACTTGAGATGCCAGACAACCTAAGATTTGTTGGAAGTGCTTTCATTCTTTAAAGGAACAATTTTATTCCATTTTAGCATTGGAGAGAGCTGTGGTGTGATTAAATAGAGCCAGCATTGGTATGGTGACCAAGGTTGGGGGAGAGAGGATGCAAATTGACAGCACTAGCAGAAATGATGGAAAGGGAGAAAATAGACCATCTTGCTCTTGACTGCACACATCTCTGTTAAGGGAAGAATCACAACCGGTGGTGAGTAAGGGTCAGATGTTTGGTTTATTGGAAGACCTAATAGAGGTACAACCTGGGGCTCATCTGACAGCAGGTTCCTTAGGAATTTGAGGGGATATTAAAAGCTATAACCTTGGATCCCTGGGTGGCTCAGTGGTTTGGCACCTGCCTTCAGCCCAGGGACTCCTGGAGTCCCGGGATCCAGTCCCACATTGGGCTCCCTGTGTGGAGCCTGCTTCTTCCTCTGCCTGTGTCTCTACCTCTCTCTCTCTCTCTCTCTCTCTCTGTCTCTCATGAATAAATAAATAAAATCTTAAAAATAAATAAATAAATAAAATTATTTATAAATAAATAAAGAAAGAAAGAAAGAAAGCTATGACCAGACATAAATGGACAAATACTGTACGATTCCACTTATATGAGGTACATAGAGTAGTCAAATTCATAGAAATAGAAAGCAAAACAGTGGTGGCCAGGGGCTGAGGGAAGGAGAAATCGGGAGTTGTTTCATGGATATGGAGCTTTAGTTTGGGCTGATGAAAAAGTTTTAGAGATGGATAGTGGTGATGTTGCACTCCAATGTGAATATACTTAGTATCACTGAACTGCGCACTTATAAGATAGTTAAAATAGTAAATTTCATATATATTGAACACACGTACAAAAAGATATGTTTTAATGTGCAGGCATACAGTTTTTTTCCCCAACCTCTACCTCCCACTGAGGAGAAGGAGCCCCAGGTAACCTAGCGCTGTGGCTAGAAATACTGTACCTTTTGCTCCTTCCTGTCTTGACCCTGTCTGCTGCTCTGTGTCTACATTTACTTGCTTCTGACATTGGGCTGCTTCTATTTCTGACATTCCTTGTTCCTTGGGCTTAATGCAGATTTGGTTTCTTTCTTTCTCAGAGAGAGAGAGAGAGAGACATAGGCAGAGGGAGAAGCAAGCTCCCTGTGGGAAGCCTGATGTGGGCTCCATCCCAGGATCCCAGGATCACACCCTGAACCAAAGGCAGATGCTCAACTGCTGAGCCACCCAGGTGCCCCCAGGTTTGATTTCTAAGGCTCAATATATTCTTAGAATACATTTGCTCTTTTTCTCTGTCTCAGTCATAACCCAAATGCTCTGGGGAATTCTGCGCCCTAGCACTCCAAAGCTGTTTCTGCCTCCTGGGCCTCACTTTTGCCTGTGGCCCTACCAGACCTAATCTGACCTCTCTCAAGGGCAAATCAGATACATAATCACTCAGGCCCACACTGCTGTCTCCCTTCCCTAACCCCTTAGACCCCAGGATCTACAATACTTATCTACATAGTTCCTTGTGACACTACCTGAGGGAGTGATAAGAGCTGAGGTAAGAGCTGACCAGGCCACTCTGACCAGCCCCAGAGACCGGATAGACTAGCAGAGAGGCCCATGCATGCACAGTGGCTTTTGCGGGCAGCCCAAGAGTCAGGTGGTTCTAGTAGCAGGACCCACAGGCCATTTTCTGTTTTGCTTTCTTTCCTGCTGTTACCCAGATGAAGGCTGAGGCTTCCCTGCCCAATGAGAGTTAGAGGAGATTGCCTCAATTACATGATTCCATGACATAGAGTAACATAAAACTTTCCCCAACTTTTTGGGAATTGTCAGAGATTTCTACTTCCCTAACCCTCTCTGCCTCCAGCCTTCTGCATTCAGTTGTGCTAGCTCTAACTGGCCCCCATTCAATCCAAATTTTGCAAAGAGCTGGAAAACTCAGCTTTTTCACATGTTACTCCCAACCAAAAAAAATCTGTGTTACATACTGGTAGGTATTATTGTCACTCGTTTACAGAAGGGGAAATTGAGGCACAGAGAGAACAATGAACACTTGTAATTTGGTGGACTTTCTTAGGCCTTTTCAGGGGAGGTGCTATTACATTGTATGGTACAATGATAGCCCACTGCCATCTTGTGTGACTCCGCTCCCCATTGCTTTCTCTACTTTAACGTTATCCAATCCACAGGGCCCTCTAGATTCCTAATTCTCCTTCCCTTTTATGCAGAGCAGATTTCCACTGTCACACTTTTGGTTTCAAGCAATTATCTAAAAATTTCTCCTCAAGTAGTTAATTCTCCCCTGATATGAACAGGGGAGAATTAACCTAATGCTAGCATTAGGTTAGCATTAACCTAATGCTAACCTTTAATGTAAATACAATTTTCGCTGCTGTTATATTCTTTTAGTTTCGAATTTTCTTATATCAGCCAAGCCAGACGTTATCAAAATAAGACTATCAATGAGATCCACGCCACTAAGAATATATTAAAAAGTTGAAACCCTTCCAAATCAGACCTTCTGTGATAGCCCTTCCTATATTTATGCCCACGTGGATACCCTTTTTCTCCAACCTCCTTAGATCACACAGCAATTCCTAAATTTGTCTGCATATTTGTCACCTGGGGATCTCTGACCAAGCCCCAAAGATTCTAGTGGAGTGGATTGAAAGTGGGGCCTGGAGTTCTGCATCTTAACTGAGGAAGAAATTCTTCTGTTATTATTTAGGATCACTGATTGAACTGGCCTCATTTCAAGGGCTCAGTAGCCACTTGTGGCTTATGTCTACCATCTTGGACAGTGCAGATGTAGAACATTTCCATCACGGTCTAAGGTTGTAGTTGATAGTGCTGACTTATACCATTTATTGTCCATGGCACTGTGATGTTTAGCAAATGTAGTCCTATCCCCATCCTTCCTCTACCTTCCAGATTCTTACACCATCTAGATTGTCTTTCCCTCACCAGAGAACTATCTATAGCCTCAGTACCTTCTCTGACTATTCCCTCTAACTCTTGGCTTTCCTTGATTACCTTCATTCAGGGCCAGGATATGGTGATGGGTCTGCTTAGCTCCCAGTACATGCCTCCACACTCTCACGAAAGACTCAGCCTTTGGAGGCTAATGCCATTTGGCTATGATGACTCACCTCCTTCTCATTGCTTTACTATCAGCTTCTCGGTCATCTCATTCACCAAAGACTTTTACACCTGGCTCACAGTTTGCCTCAAACCTTTCTGTCGCCTCAGATAGTGCCAATGTCCAGCCAACAGCTGGCTCCTCATTTCCTTGATCTTCTCATCTCTAGTAAAAAATGGTGAGAATAAAAGCTAACACTGGCAACATGCTGGTCACCAGTCTAAGAAATCAGCATGTCATGGATGAACTCATTTGATTCCATGACAGCCCTATAAGATCGGTCATTCTTATTATCATCTTCATTTTACAAATGAGGAAGCAATTAAGTAAACTGCTCAGGTCATGTCACCCATTACGCATGAGGGTAGGACTAAACTCAGGCGCTCTGATCCCAGAGAGCATGTGCTTCACTACTTCAACTTCTCTCTTTCCGGTGATGGTCTTTTTTCCATTTCAGCCTCCACGACCCACTTCCACTGTCATACCATGAACTCTGCCATCACCTCTACCTGTGTCAACTTCAAATCACTAATTGAGGCATCCCAGCCTCTGGCCAACTTCCTCTCCCTCCAGCAGGTCAATAAACCCAATAAAAGTAATGATAATAGCAAATAGTTATATAGATTAAGTGCTTTTCAT